TAATTGCTATTGAGGGTCTTCATGTAGCTATGAAGGATGTGGTCTCTGTAGGAGTATTTATGAGCGCTCCTTTCGGTTCGGGGGATATTTCTATTTCCCATTTTTTCTACGCAGATGACACTATTTTCCTGGGAGAATGGAGTGAAGTTAATGTTCGTAATCTGATGCGTATTCTCAGGTGCTTTTATTTGGTTTCTGGTTTAAAGGTCATTCTCCTTAAATTCAATCTTTATGAAGTTGGAGTTGGTGATGTTGATGTTACTAATCTGGCATCCATCACGGGGTGTGCGCCATGTTCCTTCCATTTTATGTATTTAGGGATTCATGTTGGGGAGTCTATGGTGCGTATCAAAGGATGGCAGGTGATTATTGATCGCTTCAGAAGTTGTTGTCCCAGAAGATGAGTTATGGATATTTGTCCTTTTACCATTTTAATAATATTTATGATTGCATTTTTTGTTTTTTTAAATATTTTAGCTGAGTAGAATGGATTTGGCGTTTAGATCTTTTTTCAACCTTGAAATTCTGCAAATTTCCATTTTTGCCCCTTTCTAAACCAAATTAATGTCTCTGTCGAAACTTAAATTCACAGGTATTTGATTGTAATCTCCATGACAATTTCCAGCCCACTATCCTTCCTGTAAGCATTTTTACCATTCGAAAATTATTGTAACCTTTTTACAGCTATCAAGTGTATATGTTATAACTAATGCATATATTTTCATTTACTGTAATTATTGCCAGTCGGAACCACAACAGTTCACTACCCCTGATGAGTCTCAAGAAGATGACAAAGCTTGTAATGATCCGTGTTATCGGCTAATATGAAATCATACTTTGCAAAGGAATACTCTTCAACCCTCGCGACACGGGAATCTTCTCTAGTTGTCTTTATTGTAAATAATAGATTTTTTGTGATAAATTTAATAAGAAATGAAAAAAATTCATATATTTATCATTTTACTAGTTTGGACGAAGTTTTTATAGTTTAATTATCAAAAATTTTATATATTTTTAATGAATTAAATTACTTTATTAAAATGACAATAACATACAATAGGAACTAAAAAAACAAAAACATAAATTAAATTTTATATTGTTTAGTTAAGATCCAAAATCCAAGACTTTATTTATAAAGTCGTCTATATAACAATACTAGGTGTAAAACCCATGTAATAAATGAGTTCATTAAAAAAATATGAAATTTTAAATATTTGAGAAGTTTGAATTTATAAAAAAATGAAAAATATTGAATTATTAAATTAAAGTGTTTTTTTCTCTTTTAAATTTAAACAAATAATTTAGATAAATAAATAAAGAAAATTAATGAGGCTTTAATTTAGAAATTTTAAAATTAGAATGAAAGTCGATTAATAAAATTGTTATGCATTTATTATTAAATTTATTGTAATTAGTACATTTAAATATTATATGAATTTTATAAAATGAAAAATAAAAGATAAAATAACATATGAAAAAAAAACTAATTTAAAATAATCACAAACTGACATGTGACAAAAAAAATATTTAGAGTTAATTGTTAAATGTTTAAAAAATAGATAATATCATTCTTCTTATCAAAGAAAATAGTTTGATAAGTTGTGCTACAACCCTTTAGTTGATTTTGATTGTTGACATTTCCAACCATTTGGAGTATATATAACGTGTGATTTATGGCGATCACATTCTAAAACTAGAAAATATCATTATTGTGTTCATAAAATAAATATAAAAATGTCAAATAATTTGACAACACTACTAGAAAATTGAAAGTTACCTACGAGCTATTGTGTTGGTATTTAGTAGGAAACAAGGATTAGCCACAAATTTCCAACAAAATTGGTTTGTTGGAAAAAGGGCCGTGGGAAACACACTTCCTACAAATTTCCAATGAAATGTGTAACAAATCTCCGACAATATATTTTGTAGGAAATTTCCAACAAAGTTCCAACAAAACTTCCTAACACAATTTTTCCTACGGATTTCCTATAAATCTTTTTTCCGACGGAATTCCTACGGTCAATTCCAACAAATTTCCAACGGTTTTATTTTCCAAAAGAGTTTTATTTTGATGCATTTTTCTATAGGTATTGTGTTGATAATAATATGAACTAATAATAAAAGTAATGTAAAACAATTGAAGTAATAATAACATTTATATAGAAAAGGGGCAAGGCAAAAAAAAAAAAGGAAATGCAAAAAGAAAAGGAGAGAAACAATTTTAGTTTTTCCGCTTTTAGTTTTGCTAGAGGAATTCCAATAAAATTGAATTTTTTAATAGTAATTAATATTCCGTAGGAAATCTGTTGGAAATTACCAACGCTTTTCCAACGGACTTTTCTTGGTTTCTAATTTCATTGGTATTTTGTTGGAATTTTGTGGATTTCTGTTTTATTGCATTTTTGTTGGAAATTTAATGGAAATTACCTACAAAATATATTCGTAGGTAACTTTTTGTAGCTAAAACAAAATTTTCTAGTAGTGCAAGTAGTTAGTAGTTACACGAATTTGTTGACTTTGATAGTTATCTATTCTCCCATCTTAACATGTTATAACTCATGATTGATGATGATCATATTTTAAGATTGCTTGACGGTATAAGATCATTACTTGTTGATCAAAAATCATATAAACATCAAATAATTTGACTAAGTTGTGAGACAACGCTAAAGTTAACTTTTGACAGTGGACTTTTGAACCTCCACATTGTTCTCAAATTTTATGCTATTTTTGATGTTGAACCTTAAGCTTGACTAATACTTTGTATCATATGTTGGATTAAACGATGAACAACAAAGAATACATGGAGATTCTTTGGTCTTGGAGATGTTTTGATTTTTTGCAGCATTTTATGTCACTACCACAAAAGGGGAAATTTCGGACAACAAAAGGACTGAAAAATCCTTCAGAAATGACAACGGAATAGCCCCCTTTTTTTAGTAGTGTGCAGATTCTTTTATTTCACTAAGCTAATTCACAGATACTAAAGTCACCGGTTCTTTGATATCTGTATGAGCATCGTTGAAACATTGTAAGTGCTCATATTTATTCCATGCAAATAATTTTGTTGTTATCAAGTTTTGTAATTATGTTTGTGTTTGTTTCGGAAATAGCCTCACTTTGGAACCTAAGCATGCTACGTTTTTTTTTATCAGCTCCACTTCATGTTTTTCTTAGTTTTCATTAAATTCTCACTTGGCCACTTAGCTATTATTTTCGAGTGACATGTCATCAATTAGATAGTTTTGTGTTTTCGTACTTCTTTGGAAAAGTGGATGGTGGAACATCTTGGGGTCCCTTTGGGGCTGTTGCGTGAACAATGTGAGGCAATTATTAATATTTAATTGTCAATAAGTATATCGTGGGTTAATTGTTCAATGTTCTTAGATCACTAAGAGTTCATCTTGAGTTAATTAATGTTCAGTGTTCCTAGAGCACTAAGAGTAATAACTTGATTGGGACCTTAATTGCATGAAGAATCTCTATTCAAATCAGAGATGATTAAGATACTGGCTGCGCATTTGAAGTCAAAAGCGGTAGGCTTGATTAGTTGCTTGTATTATTTACTTTTCTATAAGTGAATCTTACAAAGTTGAGGGTTATATGCTTCTTGTGATTAAGTTTTCATAAATTTTTTTGCTGACAATAGTTGGGTTGCTAATAACCACTTAATGGTATTTTGTAATGAATACAAATGCAAATGCTTCTTGTGATTAAGTTCTAGGCTGTCAGCAACGTTGTTAAGTGCAACTTTTTTGCCCCACTAGCTTGCAACCATGTTTTTCTATATTTTATTATCGACTTATATTGTGCAAGCAAAAAAAAAAAAAAAAAAAAAAAAAAAGAGGTGAAACCAAAAATTAACATGGTTTGGTCTATGTGTGTTAGTCTACGGACAAAAACCTGAGGCCTATGCTATTATTCAACTCTTTCGATACATTGGATAACCAACTTATAAACATAAAAAAGATAACAACTTTTGGGTCAAACCCATATACTCCAAACATTAGTCCCTTAAATTCC